AGTCTGGATCCATATTTCACCTTTCTCTTATTTATTATGTAGGAAAAGGAAGAAAAATTACAAGTTACATGCTCTACACCTCATCATTCTGACATTTGATGACTGGATCACAGGACTAAAATGGCAACTTTATCTTAGTGAATAAATTTCCTTTTTTGCCTACTTGTTAAGTGAAAATTGAAAGAAAAGTGAAGTGGCTAAATAATGGGATATGTAATATATATTCATCTAACTTGGAAAATATAAATGAGCTTATTCTTTACAGATATTAAATGGTTCATGGGGGAAAATTTTATAATTTGGAATTTACAGTTGTTTTATCCTTCAATGGAGGTGTGCGCAAATGCTTGTTTTGTATGAATATGAATTGAACTCGAAGTACGAATGTTATAAGGGAAACTGAGCATGAATATCCTTCAACTTTCATAACTTCATTTGCATTTTACATTAACACATCTTTGATAAGTGACTTTTAATTGTTACACGTCATTCCTCTCATTTTTTATTTTTTTACCAAGCTGTATAGATATATCATCTAAATGAAAGAGGAGTATCCTCCTTTTGTTTGGTAGCACTCAAAAATATAAGGTGTAATGTGAATTTTTAATTGGAAAAAAAAAATTCCTTCTCTTCTCTATCCTGATCGTCATCGTGCCTGAAAAAATAAATTAGGTCCATTTTTCTTACTTATTATCCATTTACGATGTGCACACCTTAGGAAAATAGGTATGCATGTTCCTTTTTTGTGAACAAAATAATTCATAATCTATTACAGTTCATGTACTTTCAGTTTTTTATATTATCCTACATAAGAACCAGTGAGATTTGATTGCTACTGTGCCTACAGATTTTTTAGCTACAAAATCTTTAGAATTTTGCTTGCAACATTATCTTTGTTGGTACAATCCCTCAGCTTTACCAGCTCCTGTCAGATTTGAAGGACATAAAGTAAGTCTATGTTTGACCTTACCACTGCCCCATTCTTACTGTCATCATCACAAATCTCATTACAGATCTGTCTTTTTATTTGTTTGTTTGATTTTAATAATAAAATAAAGAGTATGTTGCACTTATACAACCAAAAAAAAAACCACACAAACACAGCCTATACTGCACGCACCTTACCATTGTTATTTTTTATCTGACCTCAAAACAGTATGGTGCAATACCTAATTATTTTATTGACACGGTAACACATACCTCATTATCTTCCTGCTTATATATATCTACCACTAGCATCTTCTCAAATAAAAAAAAAAAATTTACTAAGGCATCATCAGAGACTTCATCTTCAGCCAGTTTCTTCAGCATTTTTCCAGTTGTATTTATTTCAGGTTACTTTCTGTAACCATTTACTGCCACTTATTTCAGGTTCCTCTAAGTTTTTCATAACACTTAATAACACTTAAAACAATTGTTTTTACATTTATTAACTCTATCTTCTTTTGTATTGGTTGGTATCACACACAAGCAATGGCAAATCAATACAGTCTCATAACAGACATCTCTCCTGGTCAAAGAACTTGGACAGCAAAAGTGTTTGTTGCTGAAAAGGGACCAGCAAGAACAGCTCAACACAGCCCCTCAAAATACCAAAACTTCATACTTATGGATGAAAATGTATAACATAGTTAATATATACTTCATTTACTTTCCTGTTATGCTATTTTAGTGTACAAAGATTTTTTCCACCATGTATTCACAGTGTCTTTTCTGGTGTAATCTTTAATACACTTTAGATAGTCAACTAACTCACCACAATTGTATTTCAAAATTGAACAGGGAAATAGAGTTCATGCCACAATTTGGGACAGTAATATTTCAGCTTTTGAAAATGAACTAACCCTTGGAAAAACATACTTGATCTCCAATGCATATGTAAGACATCGAAAAAGCGATTATAAACTGTGTGCTGGAGATGTACAGTGGACTATTTCTGGAACAACTAGGATTGAGGAAATACAAGAAAACAATGATGCACTACTGTTTTCAACATTCCACATCACTCCATTTCAAGACTTCGAAAAATATATGGACACAGATACCGACATAGGTATCATCATTATTTATCTGACATATTTTTTTCTTCCATTTCTTATTCTTTTCCTCATTATTTCATACTAACATATTACTCTATTGTAGCTGTACTTGCAATTGCTATTGACATACGACCCAAGAGGCTCATACATACTCGAGCTGGTGGGCAAGTATATGTTCAAGACATTGTTCTTATGAACAAAAGGTTGATGTTTACTTTGTTATACTTTAGATCCTGCTTATTTAGACTATGAGATATAATTAATTTTTTCAAGTGCATACCAGGTTTGAAACAGTTGTCCTGACAATGTGGGAAGCTTTCGTGGAGCGAGAATGCATTCTTATTGCAAACAATATAGCAAAAAAACCAGTCCTTGTTGGAAATCATTTAAAAGTTTCATCTTTCAACGGTTTGTTCGCTGAACCTTTTCCTAAATATATAGTTGGATATAGCATCTTACTTGGTTGTTA